GAGCCCACATCCCTCAGGTCGGAGCCCACATCCCTCAGGTCGGAGCCCGGGTCCTTCAGATCCGAGCCCAGGTGCCTCAGGTCAGAGCCCACATCATTCAGATCTGAGCCCACATCCCTCAGGTCGGAGCCCGGGTCCTTCATGTCCGAGCCCGATTCCCTCAGATCCGAGCTCGAGTCTCGCAGATCCGAGCCCAGGTCCCTCAACCTGGAGCCCGAGTTCCTCAGCCCGGAGTCCGGACTCCTCAGATCGGTGCCTGCCGGCGCACTGGCCGTACCCAAGTCGCGATGTGCAGCCAAGCCGCTCTTCTCCCGGATCCTCTCCTCGCACAGAACCAGCCGCAAACCAGCAGGCGCCATGTTTTCAAACGGAACGCTAGACCCACTGCGCCTGCGTAGTGCGTCCGGTGGGCGCTGCAGCGGGATTACAGACGGGCTGGCGGGGGCGGGGCCAGACTGGGCGAGACCCAAGGACCAGGTCCCAGGAGCAATCGCACTGGGTAGTGGGTGTGGCCAGTGACGATGAGGGCGGGCAGAGGGGACAGGGTGGGCGGGGCCGGGCCGGGCTCTGGTAGCGTTGGCTCTAGGGTGAGGGAGACAGGGATCCCGCCCGGAGGAAGCTCTACGGGTGGCGGCACTCTTCGAATGCTCCTCCTGCGGGCTGTGTCCTGGTCCTGGGAAAGCCAGGTGGGCGCGGGTCCGGGAGAGGACGCGGGATACCGCTGCGATCGAGCCATCGGGGTCCCCCCAGGCTACCCTACCTGGGCTACAAGGACCTCTAGGGTCAGGGAGACTAGGTCCCCAGTGAGGGGCGCTCTGTGACCCCAGGTCAGGCTGATTGCTCCACGTGGAGACACTTGCTGGGCCCCGTGGCCCTGAGTGTATCCGGGCTCTAGATGTCAGCCCAGTGTGGGACCACGGCCACGCATCCAGACCGGTGGGCGTCCACTTACAGCACTGAGCTTGAGACCCAGTGAGCTCTGTTTCCCGGCTTTACCAACGTGTGGCTCCAGGCATTTCCGGGCGCCAGGTCTCCCCCAGGACTCATGCCTACCCTTGGACCTCAGACACAACACACAAAGACCCAGGCTTTTCAGAAGCAAAGGAAGGGAAAAGGCCACTCAAGAATAGTAGCTCATCTTGGTGGTACAATCTCAGCTCTTCCTCCTGCGGACCCAGGCCTTTAGGGGAGTCCCTTCAGGTCAGCTGTGCTCCTCGGGACCTCCTGCACCAGGCCTGTTTGGGACAGCATCACACAGGTTATGTGTGATGAGTGAAAAGATTGCATGTTCTTTGTAAGAAATAGAGAAGACAACAAAAATTGAAGATCCCACCACTGAGCTAACCAAGTACTTTTCCAAGAATATCATGCCTTGTAAAGTGGAGGTTCAGAGAAAAAGAGGAAGACCCTCAGTGAGATGGACGAACACAGCGGCAGCAACAATGAATTAAACCACGAGGACGGACAGGATTGGGCAGTGTTTCCTTCCGTTGTACGTGCCTGGGATCACCGTGAATTGTGGAAATGGGGGATGTGGGAAATGTGACTCAGCTGCACCAAACAGCATACAATGTTAGGGAGCCCCAAAAGAAAGGTCTGTTGGTCTCCTGAGGAAAAAGCAACTGGTTTCTGTAAATACATACAGAACTATGTATCTTAATGAGACTAGGAATCCTGGGGTGGCGATGGAGGATAAGCACTGGACTGCTAATTGAAGGGAAGCGGTCCAAACCCACCAGAGGTTCCTCAGAACCCCTGAACAGTGTCTCTATGAGTGGGAACCAATTCAACTACAAACAATAACAATGACATGATGCTGAGTGTTTCCTACTAAATTTTCTGTTACTTTTTTATGAACATATTCCCAATTTACTAAATAGTCACCTTCATGTTTTTCGCAGTTTTAATGGTCACATTAGGTCAAGAACTCAACGCGAATTTATTTCAACTTCAATTAGACACTCGGCCTGCTTTCAGTTTTTTGAGAACTAACTAAAGTTGAATAAGATGTTGGCATTTTCTTTGAGGGGTTTGGGTGTGTAGTCTGGAGCTGGGACGGCCTGACCACAGCCCGTTACTACACTACGGCCACCGTGGGTGCAGTAACCATCGTGGACACAGGGACAGCACCCACTATAGGTTTGGGGGACCCTGAGGGACGGGAGTCTACAATCAGGAGGGGTGAAGCCAGTTGAAGGACTCCACAGTGCATCTTCCTAACTGCTCAGGCCTTCCACCGGTGTGTGGGGGTCTCCCAGGAGCCTAAGCCCCAGCCATGAGCCAACTGCCGGTTTTCAGACTGGGCCCTGGCTCCCTGGGGATCTCCACCAGCATTTAGAAAGAGGGACCAGAGTGAGGGCCTTGCCCCGGAAGGTACAGACACTCTCAGTTGGGCCGCTTCTCCAGTGAGCCGAGGAAAGCGCATGTGCAGGTCACGTGGGGCGTCAGGCCCTGCACTTCCTCCCAGGCCTAGCCTTCCGCCTCCAGTGCCGACACCGGAAGTTCCTCGAGATCGGCATCTCCCTTGCACCCCTTCCGCATCTCTGTGCCCCGTGGGCTCATTCACAGGGCTGGAGGGTGGGACTGCTGAGGCGAACGATTAGGGCCCCAACACGGACCTGGGCCTGGGGGCTGGAGGAGCACAGGGCTGAAGGCACCAAAATGCGCAGCAGAGCCTAGCACCCAAACCTGAACCTTGGGGTTGTGTCCAGCGCTGCCCCTGCCCCCTTACTGCCTGTCCAGCCCCAGGCACCTCCTGCCTCTTTGGGTGACTGTGTGGCCAGTGGGTGATCAACGTGCCACCGAGTTCTGCCCTGCTTGCACTCGGAGACCTCCACCATGTACCTGCATCTCCACCAGGTCATCTGGCACCTTTGCATTTTGACTCTGTCCTCAGACATCTCCAGCGCCACCCACCACTTTCCTGGTTCCAGCCGCCTGGACTAAACATCTGGAGCAGAAGCCGGCCCTCTAGGCCCACTCCCCCCTCCCTTCCTGTAGGTCTGAGCTGCGGAGTGCATGATAGGTGGGAAGGGGGAGGGAAGGGAGGCAACTGAGGCGCTGCATGAGGCTTGACCACAGATACTGTGCTAGACACGGAGTTGGGGGTCTCCATGCTATGGTCTTCCCACTGGGAGACCCTCTACCATGTTTCAGAGCTGGCCCCCAGAGCCCGTAAGACAATGGCATGTAAACCAGGGGGGTGGGGGAGGGAGGAGACACATGACATGTAAAAGGGGGGAGGGAGGAGACGTGTGGTTTGTAAAGGGGGGAAGGTGGTGTGTACACACCAGGGCTCCAGAGCAGAAAGCAACCCCTGCAGGCAGACTGGAAGGGACCCTGCTATGTCCAGTCACGGCTCCCCACCAGGTGGAGGATGTGTTCTGTGTACTGTGACAGGCACTGGCTTCGGTTACTTCCCAGGAGACACACAGAGAGTGGCCCGTCAGCATTATCAGTAGCAGAGTCTGTGTCGCAGAACAAGGTCTGTGACATGTGGAGACCCCGCCTAGTGCACCCAGCGTTGTCCTTGTCCATTCTGACTCCTGGAGACCCCCGCTGTGGGGGGTAGAGCTATTCCTCCATAGGGTGTGACCCCCACAAAGAGAGCTCCAGTCCTGTCTGCCAAGGAGTCTCCGGTTGGTTAGGAATCCCGTGCTTAACGGTTTGCACCACCCAGGGATGCCCCATTTCCTTTAAACTGACCTGTGTGTATGTGTATCCTCCCCCACAGGCTCACAGTCCATGCGCACACACACAACTCTTAGAACATACACACAAGTGCACACATACAACTCTTACAACATACACACATGTGCACACACACAACTCTTACAACATACACACATGTGCACACATACAACTCTTACAACATACACACAAGTGCACACACACAACTCTTGCAACATACACACATGTGCAAACACACAACTCTTGCAACATACACACATGCACACAAGCAGCCGGTGCCTCCAATTCACTACGAGCTTCCAGAGGCTTCTCTAGCCGAGCTGCGGGAACCTACTGTGGGTCAGGTGGAGGGCCAACCCTAACCCTGGGTGAAGCTGGAGGTCGCTGCAAATGCTCTTCAAAGTCAGTGTTTGTTGCCAAAAGAAGGAGCTGTGGTCTGGTGGTGCTAACCAGATGAAGAAAGATGTGGTCTAGAGGGGAAGGCAGAACTGTCGTCAGCATGCATCCCCAAGCTAGTCCTCGGAGAAGCAACTGAATTTAGTTATCCTTCTTTCATGTGGCTGCGCCTTCCTCCTGGAAGGATTCACTCATAACTGTTGAAGGAAACCCTTCCCTGGCCAGATTCACGACGCTTGAGAACAACATTTCTTTCTCTGCATCAACATATATCCAACCAACTCCCCTTCTCCCAAAATTGGACCTGAAGTTCCAGGCTGCTCCATGGCTGCTTTGAGTGAGGTAGACGTCATGGCGATGGGCTTCTGGGTCAATCTCTGCAAGCAGAGGGGCCAGGGGCACACTTATCCAGCGTGCCATGCAGTTGAGCTACAACGCAGGTCAGCTGACGGCAGGCAGAGGGGCCAGCTGGTTGGCACCAGCTCTGTGACCGGAAGGCACTGTGCTCTCTGGATTCAGGGCTGACACATTGTCCACATCAGCCCCTGCACAGTCTCCACCTGTCTGAAAGGGCTAAGGTTTTAGAGCTAGACACCAGAGGAGCAGGCTGAGCTGATGGGACCATCGGCAGCTTTATGGTCTCTCTGCTCTGCTCCCAATGACAACGGGAAGAAAACAACAGTCCTTGAGCCTCACCAGGAGAGGTTATCAGTGATGAGTGTGCCCAAGGGTGCTCTGGAAAGGAGCAGGTGGTGATCCTGGGAGGCTGTGGCCCTGCCCTGCCCTGCACTGCCCTGGCCCTCAGATAGCTTTTGCTTGCGAACACGTTTTGCAGAGTGTTGGTAAACACTTTTATCAAATTGAGGTGACAGTGACAATGCAAACAGAAGCCAGCCCAACCTGGCTGGGACATAATGGCAACCCAGCTAGAAACCCCACGGTAGGCTGTGCTGGGCTATGCCGGTGCCAGGACCTTTGGTTTGTTCTCAGGAGATCCCAGAGGGGGCACAGCTTCTGCACACCCAGCTCAGACCTGGAGAGAGCCTCCTTCACACTCCACAGCTCCTGGTTCCCTCCTCCCCATGTGCTCCATGAGTCTCCTAGGCTGGTGTTCACCGATGCCCTTGGCTGCAGGGACAAGAACCCACTCACTTTGGGGAGAGGACATAGAGGCTGGGCTGTTTGCAAAGTTGCCAACCTTTAAAAGATCTTGGTGTTCAGGCAAACCAGGAACCCAAATGTGTTTGGACAATGTGGGGATAAGGCTTGGGAG